TCCAGAGCTCTCAGGCCAGTTGGTTTATATGTCTCTTGAAGACCTTACTTCAGCTCCTATACCTGCTGGTCATAGAAAACATCCTGCTCTGTTGTATGCCCACTTTGGGAAGAGAGCACATCTTGGAGTTCTGTTTCTCTATACCCCTTCTTTGCACCTGGCCTAGGGGACATGTAGTGCTTTCAGGGGCTCAGCATCCACTATTTTTTTTTTTTTTTTTTGCTTTCCTCTAACCTTCTTCCCAAGGAGCTCTGGTTGCACAGTGTCAAAGGCATCTGACTGCTAACCAGAAGGTTGGTAGTTCAAACCCACCAGCCACTCTGTGGAAGGAAGACTGGGCAATCTACTTCTGTAAAGATTTACCACCTCAGAAACCCAAGAGAGTCACTATGAGTTGGAATCTGCTCAGTGGCAGTGGGTTTGATTTGGTTAATCCTCTTCCCTATCCATGGTTAAGAGGATCTTTTTCTCACCTGGGACAGGAGGAATGCTCACTCACTGGTCAAATATTCCTCTTGATGTTGTTGTTGTTGTTGTTCTGTGCCGTCGAGTCGGACCTGACTCATAGCAACCCCTCCTTGGGTTTCTGAGGCGGTATCACTACGGAAGTAGATTGCCCCATCTTCTTTCTGAGAAGTGGCTGGTGGGTTTGAACCGCCAGCCTTCTGGTTAGCAGTCAAGTGCCTTAGGCACTACTCTACCAGAGCTTCCATTCCTCCAGATATTTCTACTTTAGTCTCAGTCTCTCCTTTTGAAACTTAAAAAACAAAACAAAACAGGATATTCTCTGTAGTTTGTGATGTCATATTTTCCTCAAGGCAGCTTATGCTGCTGGCTAAAGGGGAAAATGTGAAAGATATGATGTACAGAAATGTGATGGAAAATAGCCCTTGGTTAATATGTCAAAAATATAACCTGCCCCATTTGTATGAAAGGTAGCCCAACTTTAAGAGAATGATATTAGTCATTACCACCTCAAATTCCCAAAGCCACGCTTCAACATCTTTGTCAGTTCACTATTGATTCTAGAAAGAAGCATGCCACTTGGGAAAGAGAGCAGGGAGTTTGAAAAATTAGTGAGTCTGAAGGGTGCTTGGTTTTGCCACTGTCATAAAGTTTCTACCCAACAGTTGAGGTTCTGATAAAATAAACATCTGTCATGTTATTTAGGAGTGGGTAACAGTCTGAGAGTCACTGAGCAGGTGACAAGCTGTCCTTGACTTGGTAAGTTTCCATGGGTGTCTTTGGCTGATAGAGATCTCATATTAAGTGATATGCAGTGAGAGTTTCCTCTGTCAGCTCTGTGACACGATTTTAGGCAGGGGAGATAGAATGTCTCCTTTGTCAGTAAGAGATGATTATAATAGATATCACCTGTCTTAAAAGCCCTACCTTAGTTGGCAAAGCTGTGGGCAAATGAGATTTCATGCTTTATCATCAGGCTGCCAGATGGGACAGCAGGTAACTACATGTAAAATCTCATGCTCTGTTGCACAATAGTTGATGTTTGCCAGGAAAAATAAGTATCTCAAAGCTTTTTATAGCTTCTGTTCCTTTACATCAAGAGAATATTGCACGTTTGTGTAAGGCTTTCTATTGTCATGTTTAACCACTGTGACTTATAATTGCATGATGCTAGCTGGGGCCCAGGAAATTACCGAAAAAGCTCTATGAAGATGTTACTGAGCTTTGCATGTTGCTTCATAATCTTCAAAGTTACAGAAAAATATAGCTGCGTGTGTCATTTCAAGCTCCTTTTTGTATACTAACAGCCTAAGATGCCACTCTTAATAACACTAGATCATCTTAAACCAAATTCTTGACAGAACAGTCTTTCTGTAGAATATATCATGAAGCAAACATTTCTCCAGAGTCTGCATCATTATCAAGTAGGGACCTCCGAGGCTATTCAACAGTTTAAAAACACCAGTGTGAAAGCGTGCATTAGGGGAAGGGAAGACAGTATTCCAACTTTCTAAATTACTGTTAGATTCAGAGACTCCTGTAAATGACAGGGCTGCACCTTGTGCCCATGAGCACTGGATTCTGAGTGATTCTTTCTAATCCTGTTGAGCTCTTTGTGGAAATAGCCTGCTGTTTGTTGTCTTTTTGGGGTGGGAAAAATTCCAAATAGGAAGGCAGTGAAGAAAATTTAAAGGGAATAAATGTTAAAGGACCTCAGCTTTTTTCTTGTAAGACCTTTGAGAATAGTTAGCACCAGTTTTTATTGATCAGAGAGAAAAAAAATGCCAGTGCTAGTTACCAACATCAGAGTAGGACAAGGATGCTTTCTAAGTTTTCCTAGAATGAGGGAAAAATTAGATCTCAGCTTTTAGCACAGATTGTCTAGAGTTTATATGAACTTTTTCCCATCGAGTCACACTAAGAAATGGGATGAGGGGAAACCATGCAATCATATGTTGACTGCAATTTCAGATCTTCTAGGCCCTGATCGTGAAAGAAGAAACAAGCTCTACCTCAAGTATTGCCAGTAGAAATTACTCTTCCATCACAGCAAAACAGCAAGAGGAAAAGGCTTGTTTCAACCAATGAAAAGTTTATAGTAGTACATTTTTAAGAATGGTAGGAGCCCTGATATGTAGGGTGATTGGAACTGATAGTTACTTACGTAGAGGAAATGACATGAGGTATCTAAAACATTTACATCAACTTAGAATATTTAATTATACAGCCAACATCTAATGTCTTCGGTGGGAGTTCTCTTCTTCTTCATCTTCTGTTTATTTATTTATTTATTTAGGTTTACCTTCTTTAAAGTGGAATGAGAATTTAGCAGTCTGAACGCACAGTACTAGATTTTTACGTTTTTAATTGATGTTTTAGAGTTGTCTTGCCAATTATTTATTTGACAGCTTTTTTTTTTTTTTTTTTGCAACTTGCCACTCATTATCCAGCTTTTTTGGTAAACATTCATCTTAATTTTTCTAGCAAAGAGAACTCTTCCACACTCATTCTTTATCAGTTTATGTCATATTTAAGTCACAAATTTAGGATAGTCAGTACAAGTGGCATAAAGAGTTTTGGGAATAAACACAATGATTTGAGTAAACACACATGTGCACTGGGAGGGCAGAATTCACAAGCATTCCAGAGAGAGAGCCCACCAGTCACAGGCATTTGTGTAGCACGGGCATCCATCAGCATCTGCTACACAGGGACAGGAGAACATTGATTAAGTTAGGAGTTGGTTAAGGGACTTTAATTAAGAGAGTTTCTACTATAAATACATATTCATTAATATGCATAGGTATGAGCTCCTAAAGAGCATTTTGCTGAAGTGTTTTCTAGCACAGGTCCTACAGAACTTGCCTTAATGAACAGTCAAAGCTCACGTATAATCAGCAGAATCTGCAGCAGAATCTGTGGCACTCATAATTGGTGTGCTAAAGTGCTTTTCCCCAGCAATGTAGTTTACACCATGGTGCTATAATTGGTTTGTTTATCAGAGTATTTTTTTCTAAGATGGGGAGAGATAATGTTTTGGTCCACTCCTCACTGAGTTACCCTGATTTTAAAATTAATGATTTGGAGACTTAATGAGATAGTGTTCCATTTATACATGCCAGAGATCCTAAATAGCTCTATCAACTTTTTCAATTAAATGTTCTCTTAAATACTGTAAGCAATAAAATATGATATACAAAGGATAATTTAAAAAAGAAAATAAATATATGTTGGTTCTATTAATATTACCTTAATACAAAAACCAAAGAAAACAAACCCACTGCCATTGAGTCAATTCCAACTCATAGAGGTTTTAAAAATTTTAGGGCTGAGAGATAGAGCAAGAATATGTGTGTTGTTGTTGTTATGTGCCATTGAGTCGGCCCTCACTCATAGCAACCCCTCCTTGGGTTTCCGAGGCAGTATCACTCCAGAAGCAGATTGCCCAACCTTCCTTTCAAGGAGTGGCTGGTGGGTTTGATCCACCAGCCTTCTGGTTAGCATGTTGTTGTTTTTGTGGTTAGGTGCCATCAAGTCAGCTCCAACTCATAGTGACCCTATGTACAACAGAACGAAACACTGCCTAGTCATGCACCAGCCTCACAATCCTTGCTGTACCTGAAGCAATTGTTGCAGCCACTCTATCAGTCCATCTCATTGAGGGCCTTCCCCTTTTTCATTGACCCTCCACTTTATCAAGCATGATATCCTTCTCCATGGAGTGATCCTTTCTGACAACATGACCAAAGTAGGTGAGACAAAGTCTGACCATTCTCACTTCCGAGGAGGATTCTGGCTGCACTTCTTCCAGGACAGATTTGTTTCAAGGAGTTCTGGTGGTGCAGTGCTAAGAGCATTTGACTGCTAACCAGAAGGTTGGTGGTTCAAACCCACTAGCCACTCCTTGGAAGAAAGATGGAACAATCTACTTCCATAAGGATATATACACATATACATATACATATATATACGTATATAAACACACACAGGCAGAGAGATTGAGTGAGTCAGAGAGGGGAAATGTAGAGAGAGATAAACAAAAGGAGAGTAAGAGGGATAGAATGACAGAGAGAGACAGATGGGGATACATATACACACAGATATATATAGAAAGAGAGAGATCAAGGTAGAAATAGAAGAGTAAAGAGAAACAGGAAAACATAAAAAGAGCAAGAATATACACAGAGAGATGGAAAGAGGCAGACAGAAATAGAGATAGCGTGGAGAGACACAGAAACATCTGGAAAGAGCATGCCCATACCAGCAATGTCGCTTAAGATTAGCTACATCTTCCCTTTTGATCAAAGCTCCAGAGCATACAAGCGTGGAGGTGAGAGGCTTTGGGGAGCTGTGTCACTGACCAGGACAAGAATGCAAATCCAGGGACCAAAATGTGACAGTGTCACAAAGGCAATTCCAGACCTGTGAGTAGGTCACAGCCTACTTATTAATTAGGTGGCCGTGTATCACTTGTTCAGATCTGTTAAATGTGCTTTGCAGCCCTAAATGTATTTTCAACATTTTTTTGGCCACAGAAAGGTACTGAAGGAAATCTCTGTTGGAGAACTCAACCCGAATGAGACTGTGCAGGCCAATTTGGAGGCCCAGCTCCTCTCCAAGCTGGACCACCCAGCCATTGTCAAGTTCCACGCAAGCTTTGTGGAGCAAGATAATTTCTGCATTATCACAGAGTACTGTGAGGTGAGACTCTCCTCCTCTTCTGTAAATCTTAATAAAAATCTGTTCTTCCATAAAAAGGCTTCCCTAAAGAAAAATCTCAAAAGTTTGATAAACCACAAGCTCAGTCATAAAAACCTGAGATGTCAAATCTTCTTGTAGCTAAGAATAATCATTTCTACTCTGGTGGCATAGTGCCTCAGGAATTTGACTGCTAACCAGAGGGCTAGTGATTCAAACCCACCAGCCACTCCTCAGGAGGAAGGTTGAGTAATCTACTTCTGCCTCAGAAACCCAAGGAGGGGTCACTATGAGTAGGAGACAACTTGACAGCAGTGAGTTTGGGTTTTTTTGGTATGTAACAGATGAGCTTATTTCTAATGAAGTATCCCCCCTTCCACTTTGGCAAACTTGGTCAAAATGAATGTATTTTAACAAGTCGTTGCAGAGGAATGCTTCAACATTTTTTTTTTCCTGGTCTCCAGAACTCCTCCAAATGACCACGTGCGTAGTTGAATGTTTAAATGCCACAGCAACCACGTGCGTAGTTGAATGTTTAAATGCAAAGGTGTGAAGGAGCAGAAGTACATCTCCTGAGTTCTGGATTCTAGCTCTGTAGCTCATTTTCCCCAACCTGCATGAAAAGCCTGCATGTTTATTGGTTTGTGATTTATGGCTTCAGATATTTGCAATTTTCCCTGCCGCTCCATGTTCTCTCTAGGTAATGGTTATGCATTATAGGAACCTCAAGTGAACTTGAAGCTACTTGGAAAGATGAGAGAGGGGAGAGTTGACAGTGCATAGCTGATGCATATCTGTGTTTGCTCCTGAGAAGCTAAGTAGAAGTGAGTTACAGGCGTTGAGTCAAAGAATACCTAAAAGAAACCTTGCTCCAAAAAATATCTCCCTGAACATTCTGGGAACCAGGATTAGCCCACAGTATCTTGAGAGAATTTGGTACTATTCACACTTCAGAATTAATTTAAGTCAGCTCATTCCCTGGATGTTGTTACCCACCTCCTAAAAGAAAATGATGCTAAGGGGAAGAAAGATGCTTTTTAGAGTGGAAGCCAGGCTTGTTGGGATCAGAAACTGGACAATCAGATACAACCTGAGGTGCTGTGTATTTGTGAGGTAGAAGAGGCGAGAGAAGGGGAAAGCAGTTCAGGAATGGGGAAAGAAAGAGTCATCTTGTCTCCTTTACACATTACCCCATGTATCACCCAAAAGGAAACAAAAAGCCAAGTGAAAATATCTGAATGAGTTTGAAATATTCCAAATCTTGACCACTCCCCTTCAGGTCAGCCTCTCCAGTTCAGCCTTGCATCTTGTCCATCCTCTGCTTAGAGGAAAGTGGGGGAAAGTAAATATGTAAATAAACCAACAAAGCCCAGGCTACTTAGCTGTCTACTTCTCTCTGCGTCCAGTGGATTGTTAAGAAAATCATTGAGATGAAGAGGTGTGCAAAGTAATGATTTGAATATCTCCTCTGCCAATAATCCATGCTTAATGGCAGTTATTTGCATATGTAGCTACACTATGATCCATCTGTTATAATTTAATCATCTTTCTTCCTTTAGCTCCTTCAGTTAATAATTTTATTTCTGAAACAATCGACCTCTATTGCTTTTACAACTGTACTGCTATTACCGCTACTTGCTGTTTTTGACATGTTGGGTCTAACATATTTTAAACTGTAACCAGTACTGTCTAGTAGAGCTTTCTGCAATTATGGAAGTCTTCTATATCTGTGTTGTCCAATGTGGTAGCTTCTAGTCACACATGGCTCTTGAGCAAGTATGGCTAGTGAGACTGAAGAGCTGGATATTACATCTTATTTAATTAAAATTTCGATAACCACATGTGGCTAGTGGTTACCATTTTGGGCAGTGCAGGTCTAGATGATAGTCTATAACTTTCTCTCCTGCATTAGTTTTTTAACTCCTTATTTTAAGATCATTTTAAACTACCAGAGAAGTTATAAGAATAACGTAATGACCACCCATATACCCTTTATCTGTATTCCCCATTGTTGACATTTATTTATCTTTTTTTTCCCCTGAACTCTTTGAGAGTAAGTTGTAGGCGTGATGTCCTTTGGCTTCTAAATACTTCAGTGAGTATTTTCTAAGACCCAGGACATTCTCTTACATAACCACAGTACAATAGACACTAACATTCAAACAATGTTATTATGTAGTTCAGTGGCTCTCTAAGTGGGGTCTTGGAGAAGTAGCATCAGCATCACCTGAGAACTTGCCAGAAATGCATATTTTCAGGCCCTACCCCAGAGATATTGAATCAGAAATTCTGGAGGTGAGACCAGCAATCTGTATTGACAAGAATTCTTAAAAAACAAAACAAAACAAAACAAAAAAAACACTACCACTGAGACGATTACAACTCATAGCGACCCCCTTTGGGTTTCTGAGGTGATAAATTTTTATGGAAGTAGATTGCCCAGTCTTCCTTCAACACAGTGACTAGTGGGCTTGAACCACCAATCTTCTGGTTAGCGGTCAAATGCCTTAGGCAGTACACCACCAGAACTCCTTGTTGTTGTTGTTGTTATGTGCCGTTAAGTCGGACTTGACTCATAGCGACCCCTCCTTGGATTTCCGAGGCAGTATCACTATGGAAGTAGATTGCCCAACCTTCCTTCTGAGGAGTGGCTGGTGGATTTAAACCTCCAGCCTCCTGGTTAGCAGTCAAGTGCCTTAGGCACTAACTCCTTAGGGAATTCTAATACTCACTCAAATCTGAGAACCAGTCAACTAATAATCCACAGTCCAAATTAAAATTTCTCCAATTGTCCCAATAATGTCTTTTGAAAGGATATTTCTATAAGAATGCTTTTGGCAGTACAGGTTCTAATTCAGGATCATATGAGTTAATTTTTGAATGATGAGTGATTTCCACAGGCTGAGCTGCTCTCCAGGGAAGGGGCGTTGCCATGGTGATGGCTGCTGCTGCAGGGCCTAGAGAACAGCTGCAGGGCTTCCAGAGCTCTGAAGCAAGCGAGCTGTCAGGCTGTCACTTCTCTGGCTCCTGAGCAATGATGTGTGCAGATGGCTCCGTTTTTGTTGTTAACAGAGACGTTTCTCATCCTCAGACCCAAATTCACTCTTAGCTTGCATGGGCGTGACATTATACCCTTTTTATTAAAGTAAAGTAATAATACTGCAATGACACGTGGCCAAATTTGTAGCTCATAGAAAAATGCTATCACCATTGAAATACTTGAACTTTTTTTTTAATCTCCAAGTTTTCTCTTCTATAATTTAATTTGTGCCTTTGCAAGATTGAAATCTATAAATACATTTATGAGGTTGCTATATCCACTCATTACTCAACCCTTTGGATGCATCACATGAAATTGTGACTGTAAAAAGCAGACAACCAAACTACCTGTCAAAATCTAACCAAACCTTTGTTGGGGAATAGTTTCAAACCTAACAAAGTGCCAGGATGTTTCAAGGTGTTTTCCTATTCTCCTCCACACAAAGAAAATGGAGCAACTTGCTGTTTTCTGTCCATCTTCCACAATTTCGCACCTCTTCATCTCTGGTTAGGCTGTTCTCTTTCAGAGGGCCCTTCTTTTCCTCCTAGGTCCACATCTTTAAATCCTCACAGGTCCAGTTTAAGGACTGTGTCCTCTGCTATAAGGACTTTCATGATCTCCTGGTTGAAAATCACCCTACCCTTCACAACTAACTCTCATAGCATTTGAATTCATATGGCATTCAGCACATTATACGTCGCATAAACCATCCCAGACTCTTGATATGTGGGATTGATCTTTTTCTGAGTCATTTTGTATCACGTCATGAACCCACGTAGTGAACCACAAAGAAGTTAGTCCTCAAGAAATGTTTTTGATGAATAAATTCTTTACCACTTGCTTCCAGCTGCCTCTCACCTCATTTCTGTCAAACACTGATGGTAAAAGATAAAATATTGGATCCTTCCACTGTCAAAACTGTCAAAAACATTTTGTTCCACATTATTTTGCTGGCACACCTACAAATGTACTACACTGAAGACCTATGAGGCACTGGCTGAAAATCTTCCTTTTGGGTGAGAATAAGGCAACCCCAAAAACTTGGTGATTAAATTAGTAGATACAATAGAGAGCAGGTAAGATCACGTATCTGGAAAGAGAGAGAGAGAGAGAACATCTACCTGTCTTCTAAAGCAAAAAGCAGGAAATAATTGGATTTGCCTATTTCCTGCTTGCTGATATTCACAAAGATAAAGAGTATTTTGATAGCATTACTACTGTTCTCAGCCCTGGCTACACATTTGAACCACCTAGAGAACTTTCAAAACTCCTGATACCTGAGACCCACCCTCAGAAATTCTAATTGATCTGGGCTATGGCCCAGGCATCAGGAGTTTTGAAAGTTCTCTAGGGAGTTCTAATGTGCAACCAGGGCTGAGAACTGCACAAAAGGGAGAAAACTGGGGTTATCTATAGAGGAAAACTTGTATTTATGGAGCACTGAGCAGAGACAAGGCCCAAACCCAGAGAGGTCTGGCTCTGGTGGGTGTAAATTTATGATCAGGCCACCTAATTTATTGCCATTCGTCACAAATATCACCCAACTTGCTCACTTTTCTCCCCTACCAACTTTCTGATTCCAGTCCAGCAATTCACATCTGCCTTTCTAACAAGGGGAAAAAAAAAAAAAGTGCTGGCTGAACTGACACACGTGTCCTGTCTTCATGGCAGGTCTGTTGCTCGGTGTTGTTAGTTGCCATCTCATCGATTCCTACTCAGATATATGTGCAAACTGTCTTTCTCTCATTGCTTACAGATAAATTCGTGTTCTGGTTCATTTATCAGTTCCTTATGAGCTTAAAAGGAGCTCTGGTGGCATAGTGGTTAACACATTGATCTATTAAATGGAAGGTCGGCAGTTCAAACCCACCAGTCACTCTGCAGGAAAAAGATGAGGCGGCTAGTCTGTTTCCATAAAGATTTACAGCCTTGGAATCCTTATGAGGCAGTTCTACTCTGTACT